AATATTTCTTTTTAAAATAACGGCTCACATCAACGCTTTAGATTTGAAAGCAAGGTTTTCAAAAAAAAATATATGTTAATTGTTTTTTCTAAATTTGGCAGGGCTTATTTTTCCGAAATTCTATTTATAAACCACTAAAAATATAAATTTGTGCTCATTTCAAAATGTGTGCCTTTTACTTATAAACGATATTGGAAGATTTTGAAAAAATTCTAGATAATAAAACAAAATGAATCCTCAAAGGATTTAATATTCGAAAAATAATAATAAAAAATGGTCATGTAATGTCAAACAATTAAATTTTTAAATTTAAATTTTTAAATAAATATAAATAATAGTGGAAGGGAAATATATATATATATTTTTAATTTGCCACAATTTCTAAAAAGTCGTTGTCTATATATTTTTTTATTTCTTGGTTAATAATGCCTCTTTTAAGGAATTTTTGTGTGTGTGTATGTGGGTTGGTTTTTTGTGCCCTCTTTTATTTTGATTCATTTTTTTGTTTGTTTGTTTTTTAAACAGAAGTATTTGTTTTATTTTCAGTCGGATTAACATGTCCATTGCCATTTGTGGCCGTCGCCGTTTTATTGCTATTGTTCTTCAGATCAGCCTTCTTTTGTGAATCCAATTTATCGGTGACTGGTGGTGTGGGTTCTTCCGAGGTCTGATGTGTGGTATCGATGTGTTCTTCACCATTGTTAAATTCACTACCATCGAAATTTTCATTAAGTTGGGGATTGATTTGGGCTTCCGAATCGGGACCGATATCAGTGTTTAGGGTGGCTCCTGCAACAACAACATAAGAAAAAAAAGAAAAAGAACAAGAACTAACATTTAGCTTCCGTTTATCTCGCATTGGGTTGTAAAAAAAACAAAGCAACCAAAAAAAGTCAACGGAAATTAGAAAAAAATATAGATAAAATCTTAGAATAGCCCATAAAATTAAAAAATGGAATAATGAAACTTAAAAGCAAATTAAGAAAATACACAATATTTAGGCTTTTAAGCTACAACTTCTACAAAGCAAAAGAAAACTAACTACCAGTTTTTGGAGAAAATCGAAACGAACGAATTTGAGTTGTTTACTAGCAATCCCACAAACTTTTATATCAAATCGAAATAAAAAAGAATGATCAATTATATTAAAATATAATTGATCATTCACTCAAATTTGTTCGTTTCAAATTTTACAGAAAGAGGTAGTAAAGTAAATAAGTCAAAGCCAAACCAAAACCTAAAGACCATCAATATATTTTTTTTGTCATTTAAAATTTCAAATTTAAAATTTTTTGTTGTTGTTAGTAATAGAAATTTATTTAAATACCAAAAACCAATTAATTTATTTTTCGAATACCCAATTTGAAAATCTAACTTTAAAGCAAAGTTTTGTTCACATCTAAATATCATGTTAGCTCTTGTTTTTTAACTTTTTCATTTGTTGTTGCTTTCTTTGGAGCAGTATAACGTTCATTATTTTATAATTTTCACAATATATTCTTAAAAATATTCAATATATGTGTCTTAAATTGTGTGGTGCATCATGCAAAAGAATGACTTAAAATTTAAATGGATTTTTGGTTTGTTGAAATGTGCAAATGGGTATGGGATTTCTTAAAAAAATGTGTTTTTGGTTATTTCAATGAAATGGAATTAAATATTTTTCATAAGTCTGATATAAAATTTGTATACTTATCAAGGAGTAAATTAAAAAATGATATTAGCTAAGATTTAAATATTATAATGAAGTTAAAACTGTGAAAAATGATGATCAAAATTTTGTCCAGTTAAAACGTTGCGTAATGAAATTGTTCACCCTTCAAGAACCCGGAATGCTTCGGTTATAAAAGAACGACTAAACCTACAAATACCGACAATGGTGTATATAATTTTCAGTACCAAAAATCCTAAACGTGGGTGTAATTTATGTTCGTCTCGATTATGATTTCAACAGCAAAATGGATATGACTAAATATATTTAGAATTTTATATTTTTTGGGTTCTTCGACAAATATTTCGGTATTTAAACTTTGAGTGGAGGGTTTATAAAAATTATATTCAAAAACTGGCTAACAAAGAGTCTGCAAATTAGTTATTTTTGCGAATACTACAGATTCAGAATTGCAGCTAATTCTTTCGGAATACGTGTCTAAATTTTTCAAAATACTAAAAGCTGTGCTGTATGTTACCAGGAGTTGATACAAAAAGCCCTATCAGAAGGATAAATGCGGATCTGCGTTTAAATAAGAATTATATCACATAGACGTTCAGACAACGTCCTCTAGATGACGATGTTCGTATCTACATTAGCATAGACACGAACCACAAGAAGTGAATTGTTCCAACTACGACGTACAGTCAACTCCGCTTTACTGTAGTTCACTGCATTTGCATAACTAAATATATGGAAACTTTTTTTCATTTCATTGAAATTACAGCACTTTACTGAAAATGACTTATGTTTCTCGAAAAACATTAAGCGAAGCAATTTGAATAAAAGGATATTTCAATATTTTACAAATATATTGTTTATTAAATATAAATGTTTATATTTTAAAGAGAAATCAGAAATATTTGAAAAGGTTTTATCGGGAGTTCCTAGAAAAGAACTTGATAACGCATTATGTCACCAAATTATGAACAAAGTTCTTTTAAGCAAAATAATATTAATTTTATAAAATTTTTGCCACCAAATACAAAATCCTCAATGCAACCCCTTATAATAGAATGAATTGAAAATTGCTTTAAAAGGCTAGGATTTCTATAATTGAAGATCCTCACACAATTAACGACGTTGAAATTTTAAACGAAGAATTTGGTATGCAATTGCAGATGAAAATGAACCATGTTGGCAAAAATTTGACAGACTATTGTAGTTGAAGAAACCACATCCACTGAACCCACCTTAAGCGAGGCTTTTTGTGCAAATAATGTTCTTACTGATTATTTTCGAGACTGAAGCTGTTATGATATAAATATAAATGTATTATTTCAATATTTAATACTGTGAGTTTTATTTTGATTTTCAACAGACGGGGAAGGATGAAACACGGATTAGACAAAAAGGTATGATTTTATGATTTTCAACAGACGGGGAAGGATGAAACACGGATTAGACAAAAAAATATGATTTGATGATTCAAAACAGTATTTAGGAACAATCTCCATTACGCATGTTTGGAAGATAAATTATAGAAATTATTGCGAAAAACTTGGCTTGGGCTAATATTGCTTTCGCCTAGATTTGAAAATGGCATTAAAAAGTCTGAAGATCGATATAAGTCTGGTAAAAAATATGTTGAATAAAAAATCAACGGAACTAACAAATTATCATTACTATTGTTGACTGAGGACTTTTCAGTTGGCTTGTTCTACTTGTGTATAGAAAATATAAAAAAAATGTTTTGAGTGATTTGTTTTCCCAATTTCCAGATTTTTTAAATACAATTTTAGTTTGTAGAAAATATTTCCTGAGTGTTTCTAACTACTGGAATAGTAACACTAATATGAAGTATGAAAAAATATAAAAAACAGGTAAAAAAAAACTTATTTTAAAGAGTTAAAATTGATCTTTGTTTCTTTAAAAATTAAACCTAATATGCCATAAAAATATAAAAAAAAATTGTTCAATTGTTTTATCAAATGTTTAAATACAATTTGGTAGTTTTCATTGTATTATAATTCTGAGAAAACCCCTGCTTGGGTAAATCCATTTAAGTTTTTTCTTGTACTAACATTCAAATCACAAATTCTTTTCAAGTTTAATTTTGCTTAAGTTTACATTTCAGATTTTTATGAAATTTGCCCTAAAACAATTTTACAGCATACATATACAGTGGAGCCAACTAGGAGTGTATGCCATGAAAAATATAAATTTTTAAATAAATTCAGGCCATGCAGTAATAGGTTTTACTGTATATATGTATGTTTATAATTAAAACATTTATACAAATATATAGATATGCCTAAATACATATGTATGTGTACAAGAATACACCATATGAAATATGCATAATTTCCTTGTGGTAGAAAATCTTTTACCATAATCCCCTCATTTATGGCGCATACATAAAATCCGAAAGGAGTCGAATGGAAAAGGTAGAAAGTGAATTCCAAGAGGAAGACAAAAAAATATTACCGGTTAGTATCTTTGGCTTTTGTTTGGTAGTCGTCTTCATGTTATAAACATTGCAAAATTTAATTAAAATCCGATTTAATTCTTGTTATTTTTCTTTTTACAACGACAAGACGTGTTCTTGGTATATTCGCCTCCCGCTGACGAACTTGAAACATAAAACTGTTGCAGAGTTTTTCAAGTTACATGGAAAAATGCTTATTAATAGAAGTAAATTATTTTGCATTTAAGTCTGAAAAATGGGAGCAAATTGTTGATATTGTGAATAATAAAATTGAAATTGTCCGAATTCTGAGAAATATCAACCCTAACGTAATAATATAGGGAAATATTTGCCTACTTTTCTAAGAGCTCACCATTTTCTCAGACGACACATTAACAATCTTTAAAAAAGTGATGGAAATTTAAAAGGTATTATACCTAGCACCTGGAACTGTTGAGAATTGTTTATAGTTTACAAAAATCACATTCACATTCTTTCGATATTAATATATTGTTGGATAAACAGAAACTAATGCAACCGTTTCCGTTGGCTTGAAATCGGTTCAAAGCCTGGCATAAGACCCACATACATTCCTTGTCATCTTAATCATCAGGTAACCCAAAACTACATTTGGGAACCACGAAAACATATCGGGAAGTTCCGCTGCTAATCATTTCTTGTGGTTTATTTAAGCAAATAAAAGAAACCCGTCAATTAGAATATTCAAACGACTTATAATAAATCATATAGCAAACGTCTATGATGATGATTTTTATAAAAAAATGTTTTTGTTTTAGTACAAAGCTACAATAATTTGTTAGATTACACATGTCATTACATATATCATAAAACAAAACAAGTAGCTACGAATTTTTAACTTACCTCCGAAACACCATCTTCCTGTGGCACGAGCAAATACAACCAGCAATACAATCAAAATCAATACAGCCACAGCAACAACAATACCAACAATGGCACCAATTTCCAAACCACTGGCTGGTGGTGTTGCCGACGAACTAATACGCACTGTATAATCGGTGTGACCCAAAGCATTTGATGCTCTCATGGTATAGGTCTTTGTTGTATCCTCCAATGTGAGGCCAGCAATCAGCATGGTTACATTGTATAAATCTTTACCCAAAAATTGAGGTTCGTAAACTGAGAAACGGCCACTTTTTTCACCTTGGGGTATAACTTCACCGTCAATGGTCCATTCAATGACGGGAGCGGGATTTGCACGAATGGTTAAGTTAACACGGGCGGTTTGTTCCAAATACAGGCCATAGACAGAGACATCATCTTGATGAAGAGGGGCATCTGAAAATAAAAAGGGGGTAAGTTGAGTTTATGGTTACAAAGTGAAATTGGAAATGTAAGAAAGAGTTTCAGATTTTCTTTAACCACTTACAACGCACTAATAGACGGTAGGCACCCTCCTGAGGTGGCATTGTATCACGATCGGTTTGATGATGAGAACGGCAAATCAACTGACGACCATTATCTTCTGGGCTCAAAATCCAGCTGATTGTTTGAACGGTGGTGGTCAATTCCAAACCAGTGCTGGAGGGATTTGAGGGAACATAGTCCATTTTGCCGACATTTTTATTGGCTGGCTCATTATCCAAATACCAGGTAATGTTGGCATGGGGGCGACCATCCTCCACAATACAACGTGCCTTGAATGTTACATCCTCACTGAAATATCCATCATTGTCGGGTTTGGTGATCAACTCGATTCTGGGTTGTTTGGGGCGTACTGCAAACAAAACCAAATCATAAAGAAAAAATTAACTTTTCAATATACGGAACACTTGGCTGCAGAATGCCGAAACAAACAGAAAACAATTACTTACATGCCACAACCAAATCAATGGTGCCTGACAACTCTTCACCCTCAACGCCCAAATTGCACTTAACTTGGCCATTATTGATGGCCTTTACACGGGCGATTTTCACACCACATTCACCATTGGCCAAACCTCGTCCGAAATATTCAAAGCCGGGAGTTTTATTCCAATCGGGCGATAAATTGAAAACTTTCTGCTCTCCGGGGATTTCAATTCGACAATAGGTGATTGAATGATGGGCATAACGGCACAACAATTCGGTGGGATCACCCTCATTGAGTACGGCTGTATTGGGTTCAACATTGACTTGGGCACGTGCCACGGAATCTGAAAATAAATACAGAAACAAGAAAATAAATTAGAAACGCTGAATTGTGAAAGGAAATTGAAAAATTAGTTGGAAAACTGCGCCAGAATATCTTTCAAGTGTTTGCTGCAGTAGGAAATGAAAGGAAAATCACAAATGTTTATAAATTGTATTTGTGTTTGTGTGAGTGTGTGTGTGTTTAATGCAAAACTTTATTTCAATTGTTGTGTGAATGAGTGGCAAACAATGTTGCAGGTTTGACTGCAGCAAAATGTTGTACAACCTGTGCACACATTTATTCTTTATTGTATGACTGTCTGTCTGGCTGGTTCGTTGGCAGGCTGGCTGACTGGCTGGATGGCTGCACACGGCAAGTTCAATTAATCTCTTCAAGCACCAGTTCGACATGCAGAACAATCAAAGTGCTTATGTGAATATTTGCACCCTCAGAGGAATGTAAATTAAAGTTTATTAGAAATTGAGTGATTACTTCCTTTTCCGCTTCATATCTAATATTGAATTTGCGAGCAAATAGTATTTAGTGAATATTTAAAGTTAGATTGTTGGAGTTAGTTATAGATAGGAATAACTTTGTAGAAAATCTTCAAAAATAATAAGAACTCACTATGCCTTCAGATACTTGCAATCGACAATTTCGGTATTCAATTCTGAGTTCGAAACAGATGGCAATTAATAAAAAGGATTTTTTTCACAAATAATTCACATTTTTGTTTACAACTCAGAAGGCTGCATTACTCAGAAATATTATCAGTATAATTATGGGGGCTTGAAGTTCGAGGTTTAAACCCTTTTAGTCCAGAAGGTTATGTCAATAGACATATTTAATGGTTTATATAAGGTCAGCAAGGTCCCGGGGGGACTGAAAAAGTTTCACTTTGTAATGATTATCTTATGAAATCTCTGAGATTAGCTCGGCGCAAATGAATTTCGCAAAAAAAAAATAATATGAACAAAAATGTTAAGTTAAGTTCTACTATGTCGAACTATATATAAACTAAGCTAAGTTGGGCGATACCCTTATATGAGGGTTATGCCAACAAATGAACTCACATTGTAAATTTTCAGCATCCAGGAACCCATAATGCCAAATTAAGTCACTTCGCTTGTTGTAGTCATATCTAGGACCACCAAAACATAGATCTATAAAGATGCCTATAATCATCCACGATCCTGGAGTGTAGAAAATGGAGATAGTATTTGTATATAGAGACTATGCCAAAATAAACATTTTCTACAGTGATATTTTTCCCTTTTCAAGAATCGGGAAGGAGGCAGGTTAAAACTCCTAAAAGTCGAATTAATTCTGGATTTCCTTCCTGATGGCTTCTCTTAGTCTCTACGATTTATTGTCAAAATTATTGGGATTGGATGTGGAATAGGGAACGTGCTTCCAACAGTCAAACTTTATTTTGAGTCTAATAATAGAACACATTACATTTACAGTTTTATGTTTATGGTCATAGAAGCCTCTGATTCGCTTCTATCTTCCACTTTTTTTTTTTTTTGAAATTCGTGACTCATCCTAAGACCTTTTCTTCTTAAGATCTTTATTACCAAATACCCAAAATCTATTTTAAATATTTGCTATTGATTCATGATTTACAGCAGACGAAGACCTTTCATTCTTAACAAATAACTGAAATTAATTTCTATAGAAAATTTCATTTTAACAATAATTAAAGCCCTCATCAATCTGCGTTCGTAGACTTCATCCGCGTCAATCACGTCTTTATACCAAATGAAAAATCAATCATTTAACATAACCTATCACGTTGTCCCTTTTTCAAAAATAAAATAAAAAGACGAAACTCCATTTGCCTTACATGAACAGAATACAGTTCAGCGAAAATACCGTGACTATATTAAACTTCACTTAATCGAAATTCATTAAACATTATGCCAACCAGCCAGAGCTATCCAGTTCACCAGCATCTTCATCGTCACTGCCACCATCATCAGCAGCAGCAGCCTCAATCCATCCATCCATTGAGCATATTGTAATGTCGGATAGTCATGGTAATATTATTTAAAACATTCAAAAGCATACTGTAAACACATTTGGACAAACAATAATAACAATAAGAAGAAGATGTGGATTTTCGAAATAACGACGAATCGTTGGAACACATAATCAAATGTCAGAAATTCTATTGAAAAATTAAACGGCTAAAATACAGCAAAGGTGAGGCGATATTCATAATTTCCTAGAACGCCATCCCTATAAATTTGAATATTCTCGAAATGAAAAGTCAAAATTTAATATAAAAACTACCCTTTACCACTTAACAAAATACGCTCCGATATTCATAATTTCCTAGAACGCCATCCCTATAAATTTGAATAAACGCTACTACGGCTGCATCCATATTCTAAAGAAATAAAGACATCGTTTGAAAGCACCTGGCCATTGACTGTACCGGCAACGTGAATGTTCAACGAACACCTGGTTAAATGGTTTCTAATGAAGATTAATGAATGAACTTTTCCGAAAGAATGGATTGCATTTACAATAAAATAGCTATGATGATGTATTCTTTGATGTCTCAGTGCAGGCAACAATAGCATGCATACATACAACAACAAAGGATTTCGATAGAATAATAGTTTGAAAATTGATTGAATTAGACAGGAAAGTATTGGAAGTGTATAACAAGTCCAATCCATAATTGAATGGGTATATGCACTTCAATAATGAGTATGTTTTTGAGTTTTCCAAACGGCCACATAAAAAGTACAATTTTTTTGATTTAATTCGAATCTACTCTAATTCTAGAATGTCCCTACAAAATTTCAAGTGAAAATTTCAAGAACTTTTGAAGATATAGCCGATTTATTGTGTCAGCATCAACTGACGACAAGAGTGATTCTCTAACTTTAAACACATTTTTCTCGAAACAGTGTTTTGCGAATGGCGGAAATCCTATCGGTTCCAAATATTGACACGTTTCTCGGGGAGTTAAAATCTTAAAAAAAATCGAGAATGGGGGGTTCCCTTAAATGATGACTGTCTGCTTGGAAGCAAAATTTGACATAATTCGACTGGCATTTTTTTTGTTTTAGGAAAAAATCTTCCCGAGGAAACTTATTGTAGTGAAAACATTCCAACGGAATCCCTTGTATAGATCGGAACCTTTCTATAAACTACGTCATTATAAATTGGGAATATGAAACAACTATAAGCAACCACTTCGTTTGGAAAATGTGACTAAGTTCCGGAAATGGGGAGGTATTGTTTTATTTATTTATATAGGCGATATGTGGAAGCTAAATACATATTTCCAATCGATATTTTCAAAAAAAAAAAAAAAAAAAAAAAATAGATAAATAAACAAATAAAAATAAAAATTACACCCTAAAAGACCCAAAATGTCAAATTACATATATGGGGCGGGACATTCATAGAGGGATATTTCAAAACAATGACCAATACTTATAATATTCTGTATATACTTATACTTATAATTTTCACATGAATGTATATGAACCTGTAAAGGACGGTATGTCAAATTTCGGTCTCTTCGGTGAAAAAATGATTTAAAAATAATAAAATTAAAAGAAGGGCTACGCAAAACCTGGACATATATTTCTGATTACAAAGTTGTCCTAAGTTTTTCGAATATGCTACAAAAATGTGACTGAACATTAATTGGTTAAAAATGTAAATAAAAAACCAGTGAGCGGAGCAGTATAGTCGGAAGGGGCGACCATGTGATACCCTACACAACTACCACGAAAAGCAAACTTTCTGCGGTTCTATATTCTGAGCCTGGGCAACATTTCGTGTTACTTTTTACCGATTATAGATCAACAACTCCACTTTTATTTTCCAAACATGTTTTTTGAAGTAAATTCTTACGCCATAAAACAAAAAAATTGGTCACATTAGGTTTTGGTGATTTGACCCTCGGAATATTGACCGATCATCATCTAAAAAGCCGCTCTATGTATTTGGTCAGATCCCCTTCACCTTGTAAAATATGTGATGTTTTGTATATACTAATTTCCTTTAGAGCGACTAGAAAATCTGACAAGTTTAAAGTTTTCGGTTTTTTGCACCCCATGGATGAAATCTCAACTTCACCGAAAACTATAGGCGACGCCCTTGACCATATTCGGAATTTCATGTACAATTTCGAAGCGATCAGCGCGACATTTCCGTCCTCTAATGGAGTAATAGTAATACAATGCACATAGTCACCTTTACCTAAATACGTATAACTCCCACATCAGAGTACATACAGCCACATAATTCAATACGAAGGTCAACAACTCCTCTTGGATATACTATCAACTTCTCGGGTATATGTCCTTCAGGAGGAAGTATATACGCCCCAGAATATATTTTTTTCACACAAAAGTCATAAAGATTTAATATTAATTACTTGTTGTAAATTTAAGAAATTTTGGTGTTTATTATTGTGAGAAATAGTTTGTTGGGAATTGAAATGTATACAAAATCAGAAGTTTAAAAATTAAAAAAAATCGGGGGCCATTGATTTTTTTAAATCCACGCTTCTCTTTGTGGTGATTCCTGTTTAGAGTCTTTAAAAAAATCAAATTTTAAAATTTGATTTCCGCCATGTGCTGCGAATTTAAAATACCTTAAATGAGTTGGGTCCTATGTCCTATGTCATTCTAGTAGATTGTTTATGCTCTGAGAAAATACCAAAAGTCAGGGTACATTTGACCCGCTAAATATAGATCGATCTGTATCAAAACAGGCATGCTTATTCTTTGGCCCGATCCCCTTCTCCATGTAAAATTTCACGATGATCGGACCATAACTTCGGCCTCTGGAGCGACCAGAAAAAACGACAAAAAGTAAGTATGTGGTCCATTTCATCCCCTAAATATTAACCGATCTTTACCAAAAAATAGGGGTCTTCATTGGGCCAAACCCATTCTACATGCAAAATTTCATGAAGATTGGTCCATAACTGTAGCCTTTATAGTGTTTACAAATTATAATGGACAGACGGACGGACGGACACACATGTCTAGATCAACTCAGTTAGTCGAGATATGACGATATAATACCCTGACAACATAGTTGTGTAGGGTCTAAACAGTGTTGATACCCTACACGACTTCGATAGCTTATACAAAAAATTAGTTAGTCAGACCGCTTTACCATGTACATTTTGTGATGTTCGGCTTAAAATTGTGGTGTTTAGAGTTGCTAGAAAAAAGGCAAGAAAGTTTTCGGCCCATTTCATCCCCGAAATATCATCTGATTATTATCCAAAATTATAGGCGTCGTCCTTGACCCTAACCGGAACTCCATGTAAAATTCCATAGTGATCAGCGCTATATTTTCGTCCTCTAGTGTGGTAATGGGTTACTAAATAATATCGGAATACGTAGACACCTGTAAATATTTAACTATAACTCCCACTTCCGAGAAGAAACGTCACTATAATTGGTATTTCCTCTTGGATATACTATCAAGTTCTTGGGTTTATATCATCCAGTAGTACATATATACGACTTTGAAAACATTTTTTTTTTAATCTTTCGCACGAAAGTATTAGTCCATTTGGTTATTGTATGGTCATGCACCTTTCTCTTTGTAATATTTCGTGATGGTCCGGTCATAATTGTGGCCTCTACAGCGACTAGAAAAACGGACCAAAATAAAGTTTTTGGTCTATTTCATCACCTAAATATTAACGAATCTTCACAATATCAATAGAGGTCTTCTTCGGTCAGAACCCGTCCTACGTTCATAACTGTGGCTTGTATAATGAACGGACATACATGTCCGGATCTACTCAGCTAGTCGAGATTTGACAGTCGTTATACTAAATGGTGGGCCTAAGATCAATATTTCGCAGCATTACAAACTCTTGGGGCCACATAACGCTATAAAATCCTGACAACATAGTTGTGTAGCGTATAATTAAATATTTCCAAACTGATATAGTACTGCTTATTGTGAGGTAGAGGAATAATTATTGTATCAATACGAATTGGCTTTTTTTATTCTAAATCACTTGTATTGCCCTTAAAACAGTGAACTATGGCACAAGGTGCTAAATGCTGTTCAAGGACTTGTACATATTAAGCCCTAGCTTATATGACATATTTAGTGCAAAAAAACTTATATAAGCCAATTTGTCAGCAATATTTTTTTTTTCATAAAAATCTATAAAATATGTTCATCAATTAGTTCTATGCTTTCCCTTTTATTCTAACTTTCCCTCTTCGCACATTAAACAGACCATTTCTGCTTTCAAATAACCAATATTCAAAAAGCAATAATATATTGAAATGTCCATTAATTGAGGACAAGTGATGTTGAAAAATGGTAATGCTCTGGCGAATGTTAATGTTGAAAGAAAATTGCCATTTTTTGTTGCTCGTTTTTGTACATCATAAAACATTAGCAAATAAGGTCGTATTAATTAGAAATGTATACAATTAAATTCGACAAAGAACGAAAAAGTGGCCAACAACGAACGACAATGACAAAAACTGAGCATAATTATTCACTGGAAATTTGAGTAGGACAAGAAGGATGAAAAAGAAGACAACCATATTAAGCAGGAAGCTACTATGACAGGAACGTAGGTAGGCACTTAATATAAGACCACATATTTCATTTCCATTGTATTCTTCTTTTAAAAAATGATTGTGGTGCTTATAGTTTTTAGTCAGTTGGTAAATTTTTACTGCCTAGGCTACAGGGTTAGACGATATGATCTTAGAAGTATACATTACTTTATAATTTATTTGAGCTTCTTTACGATTTCACATACCAATTGTAATTATTTCGAGTAGATCAAAAATATATATATTTTCAACTAATTAATGATTATATAACAACTATATTTCGAATTCATATGGGCTTAATTGTTAGTGTATATTATTTGTTTACATTTCCATCTGTTAATATATAACGCCTAAAAGTATGCAACAGTCACTATGATATAGTGAGTAAAATAATAGGCTAGTTGAAACATGTGTACCATTAAAATTCTTTCGAAT